CATTACAGAAGTTTTTGAGGATGGTACAGCATATGCGGCGGTGACATGTCCCCAGGAGCGAGAGGTCCTTCGTCTGAAAGTGATGCAGATCCCACATATCATTCCGTCCCTCTACACATTTCATCAGGATGTCAAATATCTGGAGCCTGTTTTAAAACTCATGAGACGGCTGATGCCGAGGTCGTGGAAAGGTACCATCGAGAAGGGCCTACGGCGGTGCTACTCTTCTCCACGCGATAATGATGTCCGCATCCAGACCTCGGAGAACAGTTACCGTCTGGCGGCCGGCATGCCTGTGGAGTATGGCTTCTGGTCGGCTTACAGGCAGGTATTTCTTGCCGGGATGCGTGACTTCTTTGGCCTTGTCCCAAACTTCCAGCCCATTGGGATGCACAAAGTTCCACCGAGAACAAGACAGCCTGATTCGCAAGTGCTCTGGGGCCGTTTTTCTGAGCTGGCCAGGTCGGTTGGGTTCCTGGTCCCGAGACTGCAGGGCGGCGTCCCGGCCCCGGTGGCCCTGGATGCCCGTCCGATCGCCCGGCCCCTATTGACCACAGATGAGGATTTGGGAGAATGGTCCGTCCGCTCCTGCTGTGGAATGACCGATGGAAACTCATTCTTTTCAGACCAGAAGTATCTATATCTTGACAACATCTACTCCCCTCCTCCGTACGAGCCGGCTGAGTGGCTCACTTCCTTTGCGGTCAAGCGAGATATTTTCCTTGCCTTTTTTCCGCCTTTCACTGAAGCAGGGTGTCTGAGTGCATCAAGCCCGCAACCAGCAGAGTGGAATGTGGAAACAAGAGATCAAATGAATCCTCTACAGCCGCCAAACCCACCAATACCGCCAGCTCATACTGTGACCCAGTCACAGACAGAACCAATACTTGATTTCTCTGACCAATTGCTTGTTGAAAATCCAGCACACATCAACACAAACATGGACCAGCCTTCTATATCAGTACCCCCTGTTGAGATAAATATGGACCGCCCTCGCTCATTAGAACTTGCTGCAGACACAAATCCGCCACCTGTTGACACAAATATAGACCAGCCTTCCATATCAGCACCCCCTGTCAAGATAAACATGAACCGCCCTCACTCATTAGAACTTGCTGCAGACGCAAATCCTCCACCTGTTGACACAGACATGGACCAGCTTTTCACATCAGCACTCCATGACAACGCAAATGTATCCGGAACCGTGAGCCAGGGTGTTGTGGCCCGCCAGCCACTTGAGATTGTGAAGCAGGATCATTTATGCTGTTGGGTCCGGGTTAATGTTGAGCCGCAGCAGTATGTGAACACCTTCTTTTGTCAAGAAAGGTCAGGACCTCAATATAAGTGCATCTTTGTCATATCAGATTCTGATGCCTTATGTGTGCTCTCTCAAAATGCAGAGCGCTATCTTGACTATGTCAGCCTGGAGAAATACAAGTGAGTTGCAGAAGTGACCCGGGGGGGCATGTCTGTCATTCCACCCAATCAGATTGGTTCACTTTTGCAAGATGAGACCTTGTTTGCATTTGGATGTGAAGAGCAATTCAACACAGACATGCTCACACTTGGTTCACAATCATCTGACCTAGATAGAACTGTAGTGTATGATGAGATGGGGAAGACATGGAAGCTAGAGAAACAACTCTGATCAAGCATATATCTAGCAATGATAACTGTGCGCAATCCTCCTATAAGGGGGGCGGTTGAAAAGATCTTCTTTATATTCTTAGCTGCTATACTCAGCCGGAAAATGTGCTTGCTTCTACTTTACACCTTGGCTCTTGTGGGATTATCTACGGCCTTCTGGAGCTCTGTGATCCGTCCATCCTTCTCCCTGAGAGCCGCTTGATATTCGTTGTGCATCTTGGCTTGAATGCCCCGAATAACATCACTGATCCGCCGAGATCAGTCCCTGACCCCCAGACAACTATCTTCCTGAAGCTGCATCACATCGACCAAAGCGTCCACTCAGTGACACCACTGGACTGCACTCTCTAGCTCGGCCATCATGGCGCGGTGGTGTTCCTGCTCCATCCCCAACACCTGCTGTGCTACGGCATAGGCCTCCTGCATTTTGGAAAAGTCCTCGCGCAGCTTGGCATTGGCCTCGGCGCAATCACCTTGAAATCGTTTCTCCAGCTCCAGCTCGTGGCGTGTGGCAGCATGGGATTTGTTTTCCAGCCATAGCTGGTGCCGGAGCACTCGATCGCTGTTTGTGTATGCATGGAGTGTAGCCTCAAGGCTGCTACACTTCCTCACAAGCTCCTCTGTCTGAGATCTTTCTCAGAACGAACATATAGCTGATATATACTGATGTTGTTGAAGCTGCACCATCTGAACTTGGTGATCTGGAGGCAGCAGATGGTGTTGCGCGGTGAGACTTTGAGTGCTTAATGGCACCTAAACCTGTCAACTCATGCAATGCTGGAACCTTGGTCAGTGTCTCACCTTGGCCTGCTGTGTAATTTCTTTCTGGTGCTGGTTTCCTGCCATCTTGAGCATCTTCCGGGCACAACTGATGGATCAAGTCTTCACCAGTCAATCTGCAGGCTATCATGGTTTTTAACCACAGAGCAAGAAATAATGTGGTGAGCAAGCAGTGTTGTGATGCAAGCACTGGTAGAAGTTCTGATCCTAATTTTGGGTACAGGCTTGCATCGCATCACGATTCCGTGTATTTTCCCAACAGCTTCAAGTGGGGCACATTAGAGCCAAAGTGAAAAGACACCATCATTTGTCCAAACTAGTGTTGCCCCCAGTTGCCACCAATAGCCAGGCCGGAGGTCAGATTCGATTTCTCAAGATGCATTAGCCCTACAGCAGTGCCACTTATTGATCTCAGCTCGCGGCAATGCAACCTTTCTCCAGACTGGAGAAACAGATGATATAGCTAGACAAAAGAAGAAGTCAAGAATTACCAAGATGATAGTTGATCAACAATCTATACATCTACATCACAAGATGCTGCAGCGACAAAAAGTAGTTCACAAAAGTAGTTCACAAAAGTAGTTCACAAAAGTAGTTCACACTCTTCCCGTCCTCCACTTGTGTCCGTGGCCACATTGCCGCCGTGAGTCATGTGATGGCCGGTGGATGCGGGAAAGCGGGGCCGCAGGGGGGGCGCGCTGATTATCTCAACCTGCATCAATCAAAAGCCTTAGTAACCGCACTGAGTTGAGTCAAAAGAGGGCAGGAGTAGACTGGCCGCCGGGACCATGAATTTCACATTTGGTTCCATTTGGTCTGGTCCCATACATTTCTTGATGTGAATCCCGCTGGGACTGGCTATCAAAAAAACATGTAAAGTGACTATATATCAGATCTTAAAATGAAATCATAACTTGAAAAAAATGAGAAAATGATCTCATTTAATTTCATTTAGTCTCATTCTTGGCATAAAGTTACTATTTTTAGACATTTTAAGGTTTTTTTTAGACTATTTTTAATTTTTTAAAAAGTAATGCTTTTTGATAATATTTAAATAAGATTTAAAGTCATTTAAAGTAATAAAAATAATTTAAATTGAGAAATGAAAATCATGATCTCATTTGAAAAATGTGACAAGAGTAGATAGTAAGTCTCACTGAGACAGTATGAGACTACTATCTAATGTTAAAACTGTGTAATGGAATCAGTTGAATTGATAATAAGACTATCAAAAAATCTGATCCTGGTCTCAGACACGGTCACATGGTCAGTCTAGACAGGAGTGACTTACGGCCGTGCTGAGAAGTGTCACAGCACAGGTTCACAATAACAGCTGACAGTGATCATATTCAGAACCCTTTGAATTCTGTTCACATGAACCTGTGTATATTATCAGATTCAAGCTCAATCATTTGCCTAGAAATCAAATCTTCAAGATGATCTTCACATCATCAGATGTCAAATGTATCAGCTCACATACTGCATGATATTTAACAAGCTTGTTCAGATAATTATCTACCTCATTCAGATCTCAGTACTGCATGTGAGTGCTCACTCAATAGACAGCTAATCTGTTGTTGATTTCTGATGTATACAGAAAACTTGTGTAAGAGGCCTACGCCGAATAGATCAGTATAATATTATAGATCTTATATAACAAAGAGAAAAACATTAGAGAAGAAAAGAAAGAGAAAGTACAAGAATCAGTGATTAAAGTAAATATTTATACATGTATGTGATGATATATGCAGTGAAGCTTCAGAATAGAAGAATATACATATATTTATAGCAGCTGAGAATCAGTGATCAGAATATACATGTTCATGACAGCTGAGAATCAGTGATTGAGAATGAGGTGATAGAAATCTATGAAGTGTATGAAATAGTCTATATAATTGATCAGGCGCAGTCTGTTACATTAGCTTTCTTCTTTCAGAAGCAGTTCTTATCAGTCAAGAACTACTGTTTCAGATAACATGAAGCTCAGAGTTCAGATCAGTTGATTATAGCTGATCTATTTTATAAGATATTATTAACTGCAGCTATGTGATCTCTTATCAAGAATATCTTTAATCTCTCACTCAAGCTTATTATCTTCTTCTGTGACAGGCTGCGCCTGATTAATTATATAGACTATTCTGTTACACTTCATAGATTCTTCTGCTTTACTTCATAGATTCTTTCACTTCACTCTTGAACACATACACTTCAATTCTCAGTCATTCTCAATCATCAATTCTCAGCTGTTATGAACATGTATAGATTCTTCTGTCTCAAAGCTTCATCATGTATGCTATCACATATGTGTATAAATATTCACTTCAATTGCTGATTTCTACACTTTCTCTTTCTTTTCTTCTCTAATGTTTTTCTCTTTGTTATATAAGACCTATCAATATTATACTGATCTATTCAGTGTAGACCTCTTACACTAGAAAAATGTTCATCATCTTCTTATTAGAAACAATTATTCACATATCATCTTCTTATTAGAGACAATTATTCATTAAGATATTTAAACACATAATAATGTGTAAGAAATAGAGAAACAGTTAAATAGTTAAGTGAACACTGAGTTCTCAGATAGAAGCTTGCTTATCAGTCACTCTGACCCTGTAACAAGATCTTATGAAGAGAGTAAAATCTTATAAGAGAATATCAGTAAAAGACCTGAGAGTTCTGACACTCAGATGTATGAGATATTCATATAATTACACTTCTTCAGATTTCACAGATATCACACATCTGATAAACAATATAATCATGTCTAATAATAATATGAAAGAACCTCTGAATATGAGCATAGATATAGTATCACAGTGACTCTGAGTAATATTGAAACTATAATAACAATAAATAGCTGATATACATGCAACTTAATAACATCAATATGAAGAGATTCAATAATTATCATAATAAGAAACTCATGCAATTTCAACATCTACAGAATTAAATACAAAAACACTGAAAGAATGCTTAAATACTTTTACATATTTCAATACTTCTGATCTCACTCTCTACTCATCATGAAGAATGGAAATGCTCATGAAACTGAGTGTAGATGAAGATACTATCAGTTTATTAATTAATTAAGATTGATATATCAATGAATAATTGAAGAATTGTATAAAATAGAAATTTCACTCATGAATGAAAGCATGTGAATCAGTGTTACAAATGTCTGATAATATTATGAGATATCTTGATATTCTGTTCCAAGACACTGCTATACAATAGAAAGTATTAAATTGATTACAGAGCATCTGACAGAGAACTACTTCTCTTACAACATTTATTTCTGACTTCAACATCAAGATTCTAGAAGCAGGTGATCAATCTTGAGAGAATCAAATAAAGATTAGCATGCTTAAGAAGACATTGACTTTCAAACTCTTACAGACTCTTATAAATATAGACAAAGACCAGACTTATGAAGGCTTCTATACACAGCTCTGAATATTGAATGACTATCTTATCAAGCTTAAGAGTATACAGAACAGTGATAGAAGATATTACATCTCAGTGACTTATATATCTGCACTGAAGAACAGCAATGATACAGATATTATGAACTGAATAGATTCAAATGTCTATATATAAGCAAGAGTTTTCACTGTTCAAACAGACTTTCAAGTCCCTGAGATCACTTCTGAAGAAGTCACTGATCAATATCAATATAAAGTGTGTATTAACTGTAACTGATCAGAACATATTACTTTCAACTGCTAATCAGCCTATGTATCTTCTCACTTGAAGAATGAATCAGCATCTGTTCACATCAATCACATTGCAGTGAAGAAAGATTCAGAAGATAACTATAAGAATACTCTGATGAAATAGAGAAAAGATTAGCTTCTGTTCAAATTTGTAAACAGAAGCTTGAAGAGATCAGATAACAATGATTTAAAGAGAAAATAACAATGAATGTAATTCTTATATCTACTGTGATTAATAACATGTATAATATGAAAGTCATGATAGACAGCAGTCTATATTACTATGCAATGATAAAATCTTCAGTTGTAAGATATTATAATCTTCAGTGTATTTCTTTATCAAAACTCTGACTTCTTGCAGAATTTGATGATCTGAAAGTTATTTATACTCATTACATAATGAAACTAAATATAGATGTGAGAGAATATCAGTATAAAGATGTCTATATATATAAAGTTAATAATTTTAATTATAATCTTATATTAGAACTTGTCTGACTATCTGAATAAGGCATCTTGTTAAATGCTTAAAACAGGAGCTTGATATTCTCTAATGATGATAGAATTCATGAAGATAATATTCACAAGACTATGAATCTTACACAGATCTCTATCAACACTTATAAAATACTTTAAAAAAGAAGTCATCATCAAAATTACTGACAGAGTCACTGATAAGTTCACTGATAGTAGAATCATATATCAATCTATTCTATCAGTCTGACTAATATCAAAAAGACTCTAGAAAAGTTATTCTATATTATAATAACAGATTCTCATACAAAACTTTCTCAACAATATCGTGAATATCTAAATGTCTTTCAACAAGACAATTTTATAAACATATCTCTCTTACAAGATTCTGAAGTGAATCACAGTATTAAGTTAGAGAAAAAGAATGATAAGAACTTTAAACTGTTATAAGACTCTCTTTATAATATGTTCTGAGATGAACTTCTTCTTCTTCAAAAGACACTCAATGATCTGTTAAATAAAGAATTCATATATATTAGTAACTCTTTCATCACACTCTCTATTCTCTTTGCAAAGAAATCAGATTAAGAACTCTGATTCTGTGTGAATTATCAAGAATTGAACAGATTAATAAAGAAAGACTGTGATTCTTTATCTCTTATTAATAAAACTCTAACTTGCATTAGACAAGCTCAATGATTTATAAAGTTAAATATTATTACTGCATTTCATAAGATCTGCATCACTGAAGAAGATAAGTAGCTTACAGTATTTTGAATATAATATGATCTCTTTGAATGAGTAGTTACACTCTTTGAACTGATCAATGCTCTCAGTACATTTCAGAAGTATATGAACTGAGTACTCTGAAACTTTCTTGATAAATTTGCATCTACTTATCTAGATAATATTCTCATCTTTATCAATGAATTCAGAAAGA